GGTTACACCTTTTTTCTGTAAATATTTTTATTGCACTCCTTTTTGACTTTCAGTAATAAATCTTTCCTTTTGAAAGTGTTGAACTGTTTCTTTAGCTCTTAATTGCAATTTACGAATTTCTGCCTCTAAAAAAAATGCTACTGTGTTTGTTTAACCCTCTGTATATCCGGCCTGCGGTGACTGTGTTAGGCAGACGATTATCTCAACTATTATAGTGTTATTGCTGGTATAGACGAATTTCCTCTTTCTCTGTACAAAAAGGAGGTGGTGGCAGTGTGAAGGGTTAATTGCGTAATTAACCTGACCCAGTAACAATCGCTCAGGCTGCCGTACATAGATTGTGGTCCAATTAGCTGGAAATTCGTTGTGCAATGTGCAGCTGGATGTGGCATTGTTAAGCACGTGACAACGCGGTTTTAGATTGGTGAGTTTAGTGAGAAGGGCTGGGGTCTGACGCCGCGGTCGTCACATATTGGTGACAGCGAACGTGGGATCGTCGCATATTGGTGGCAGCGATCTTGCGTCCGTCACAGGGGCCAGAGGCCTGGGTTCAATGGGAGGCAGATACCACTCAAAAGGGATTCCTGGATTGGTGGGACATCTTCAGGGTCAAAGTGACTTCTGTCTGTGGAAGGCTTGGTGGAACAGTCCCCACTCACCACGCAGGGTCTCAGCAGATTTTGAATGGTTCAGAGACCACATCATACACAGGGGTTGTGGGAAAGGATGTTTCTCTACCCCAATAGGGGGTTCATAACTACTTGGCCTCCAATTTGCCGCCTCTGTCACATTTTGGGTTCTTTATTAGCACTTGGTCCCCTGGTCACAGCGGTAGTTCGTCCACAACAGTATCCTCTGCCATGTTTTTATGCCTGTCCAGGACTATTTGCTTAGCTTCATTCAATCTGTCCTACTGCTCCTGCACTCACTCACGGAACATGTGGGAAGTGAGGGGTTCTGTGGAATCCAGCACGTTTACTGGCATTCGGTCATAGCTTCTAAAATTCAGAAATAATGGGGTATGACCAGTAGCCCTATGCCACGTACTGTTGTAGGCCCATACCATGGCCCCCACATGCTGATTTTGGTCTCGGTAGCTCCATTTAGAGTTTGTAACATTCCCAGCAGGGTATGGTTGAAGCATTCACAGGCTCCATTACCCTGAGGGTGTTAAGGTGTATGCGAGGTCCGGATTCCACTCAGGAGAAATAGCTCAGACAGTACCTGTGACTCGAAGTTTAGGCTCTAGTCTGAGGGTATGCATTTGAGACAGCCATACTGTTGAACCACATGTTTCCAAAACAGTTTTAGCTGTGGTCACAAATGTCTGATCCCAGTTTCCACTACTACAGAAAACTTTTGTGAAGTGATCCACAAAGACTAGGGCATAGCGGAACCCAGAGGAGTTGTTAGAGACTGTAAGGAAGTCCATTGTCACTAGCTCAAAGGACTCCAAGGTGGTGATAGTCATTAGGGTGGTCTTCTCTTCAGGGGCTTTGTGTATGGTGCAAGCTGCATACTCCCAGAAAGCACCCATTCCACCAGTCGTGTGGACAGAAGAAATATCTGTTGACCAGGACCCTATTACAATCTGTCCTCCAGAGGTGTGCAACATTTGACAGACCTGCAGGATGTGCTCCTGGGGGACTACAGTCTGTAAAATGTTCTGTTGTTCAGTGGGGATACGTGCCTGCCAGTATAGGACATTGAGCAGGGACTTGAGCTGGTCCCACTGCCTCAGGAGTGCTCTCATTGTGTCTGGAAATTTTTTGCACTCCTGAGAAGACTGTCTATGCTTCTGGGAAAGGAAGCATTGTACCTGCACAAGGTCAGGGCCCTTGTGTTGGATCAGGGCTCACTCTTCAAATGTATAAATCTTTGTGGCCCCTACTTGGGAGTCCAGTTGCTGCTCCTGGAGGGAGCAGGAAGAGGCAGCCACAGGCAACACTGGTGCTACCTCCAGATCATCTCGACTCAAGACCACGTCCTCTCCTGGGCTTTCCACCTGGTACTGTGAGAGAGCATCTGCATATCCATTACATTTCCCTAGCTTGTAATGTATCTTATAGTTTAAGCTGGCCAGGCGGGTGACCCAAACCTGTTCAAGTGCCCCCAACTTGGCTGTTTCTAGGTAAACTAGAGTGTTGTTGTTTATGTTAACTTCAATATCTGCCCTCATAAGGCATTCCATGATGGCCCAAACCAGTGCTAATAGCTCCAGTTAAAATTGTGGGAAATCCGTTCGGTGGGCTGCAGAATGCGCTTTTATGTCCATTCTGTTCCTGGGCAAGGACAGCCCCCAGGCCTTGCAGGCTTCCATCTGTGTATACCCAGAAGGGTTTTGAGTAATTGGCGTAGGCGAAGTGGGAGTGGATGCCAAATTGTACTTCAGGGCGTCAAACGCTTTCTGTTGCAGTTTCTCTCCACTGGGACTGGATTGATTGACAAGATCCCCCTTTCTTCTGTGTGGGATGTTCACTCAACAGCTGAGTGACAGGAGGTTCGATCTGCATGAATTTGGGGATGAACTGCCTGTGGTATCCCACCAGAAGGGGTTTAGTTCAGTGACTGTGTTGGAGGGAACCCATTCCTGTACTGCCTGGATCTTGACTGGGTCTGGGGAGACCCCCCCCCAAGCCTCCATAACATGCCCCAGATAGTGGATTTTCTGACGCATCCAGCAGCACTTGCTGGGCTTCAATTAAACCTGTACTGTGCCAGTTGGGTAAGAACTCGGTCCAGGGTTATGGTCCTTAAACATCTTTGAGACTGTTCTAAGCCATCTAGATAACATCATTATTGTCTCCAAGTTGTAATCCCCAAACACTTCTCCATCAACCAGTGGAAGGTACTGGGGGCATTTTTAGCCCAAAAGGCATACAGTCCCTGTCGGGTAATAAAAGCCGTTTTCTCCCGATCCTTTTTTCTCATCGGGGCTTGCCAGTAGCTGCTTGCCAGGTCGAGCGTGCAGAAGTATTGAGCTTGGCCCCACCATAGTCAGCAGATAGGCATCCTGGTGGGTGTTGGCATTCAGTTTGTGATAGTCCACAGAGAACCGCAAGCTACTGTCTTTTTTATGTACTAGGACGACAGGGGTGGTCCATGGGCTGCAACTCTCTTAGATTACCCCACTGTGAAGCATGTCATAGATTAAGTCCTTGAACTCTTGGCATAGGGCTGGGAGAATATTGTGGTATCACTCCCTGATGAACGTGGTTTGGGTAGTTTATTGTCTTGGTGCAGCCATAGTCCTCAGGACTAGCTACAAAGCCTTGTAGATATTTCTCTAGTAGTTGATGGAGAAGATGTTGCTGAAGCAGCAGGTAGCCCTGAAAGAGGGTGGCCATCACTGCTCAGCAGGTTGTCCTGTTCCAAGGAGTTGATGGCCAGTTCCGCAATCAGCTGGGCAGGAACCTGATATGGCACTCTCCAGTCTCTCCCCGAACTCTGATAGTGAGATGTTTGACCCATTAAACTTGGAAAATAAGGCCAAGACTGCTCCTAATGGTGTCATAGTGGCCCCTGCTCCTCCTTCCATACCAGCCCCAAAAAGGAAAATATCCTGCTGACTGCCACCAAGTGTGAGTAGGGTGCAATGTGGTGCACCAGCAGCAGAGAATACACAAAGACCAAGGTAAATGGAAACAGTGTATTAAGAATGCCCTACAATGCACAATTAAGCCCAGTGGGTAGGCACAATCAACTGGAGCCACACACAAGCCACACGCATAATGCAGAGGAACATTATCTTGCAATGATTCCAACAGCTTCTGCAGTGAGAAAATACGGCCTGGCCGGTCCCCACTCAAATGGGAGGCTTCCTGAGTGGAGATAGCATAGTCATTGCACTTTCCCTACTCTTCTGGAATCCCTAACAGACAGGGAACCTGTCCCTACACTAACCACTTGCACAATGTGCCCCAACTCAGGGAGCCAGGAAGGAAAGAGCAGACCCATACAGCAACCAAAGCAGACACCTGACATCGAATGGGAACTTGGGGGCCTGACAAAATTTAAACCATGTATTCCTACTTTCCGTGATATAACCAAGAAGTTTCCAGCTGTCGTTTGTTTTGAATTTGCATCCTATTTGAGGAGAAATAAGCAGAACAAGAAGAGTGATCTGCACCAACTCACCAGGGACTGTAGAAGCTATTTTTAGGTAAAACTCCTTTACATGTCTGCAAGCATTTTTTTTTAAAGCACGCTACCTTTCCATATGGCTTGTAAGTTTTAAATTTACTGCTATTTGTGTCGTGTTGGTAGATAAAAAAGACTACTTCTGTGCTGTTACTTGGCACTGGGTAAATAAAAAACCAAAACTGACGAATCCCAAGAGCATGCACATTAGCTCCAGCACCACATTCAAACACCCACACATCTTCAGTTCACTTTGTGATTCTTCTTTGTATGCATACGCTTCTTAGATCATTTTTCTTTTTTTTGGTCGCATTTTTGTATTCAGAAGCAGTTCTTCTGATGAGCTATATATGTGAATGAATTGTCACATTAACAAAAAGCTTGTGGCACATTTCATACAGAGCTTTAGGCACACTACAGTTTTTCCAGCATCAGCATTTATGTGTATTTACCTGCAGTATACTGTATATTAGAGGTCTATAGTGCAGCATAAAATCGTGTAATATAGACACATTTATTGCATCATAAAATCATGTAACATGGGCAGATTTATTACAGTCATGTATGAATTATGTTATGATTTAGGCCAAGGTTTGACCCTGCAGACATTATTTTTTTCACAGGGGTTTATAACCGTTACCTGTCAGAAACCTGGGCAATTCAAAGCTTACCATAAAAAAAAATCAGCAGAGCTTCTCTTCACTTAACCCATATGTTTGAGTCATCCGTAGAGCCAGACTTATGGGCAGCTAAAGTTACATCTTGATCTTGACTCCTGTAAAAAGATGCCTCTAGCCTCTTAACCCTCTCAGTTAATCAGTGAGGCCACCTACCACATTAGCCACTTGCCTACCGGGCACTTATACCCAGGGGCGGACTGACAACTCATGGGGCCCCCGGGCAATAGGGGATCATGGGGCCCCTGTGTCCTTGCCCAAACTCAAAAAAGCCTATGAAAAAGGTACCAGGGGCATCTCATGGGGCCCCCTACTGACCCCGGGCCCTTGGGCAGTGCCCGAGTTTCCAAATGGTCAGTCCGCCCCTGCTTATACCCCCTTCCTGCCCAGGTCAATTTTCAGCTTTCAGCACTATTGCACTTTGACAATTGCATGTTCATGCAACACTGTACCCATATGAAATTTTTATCATTTTTTTCACACAAATAGAGCTTTCTTTTGGTGGTATTTAATTGCTGCTGGGTGTTTTTATTTTTTGCGCTATAAACAAAAAAAGAGCAAAACATTAAAAAAAATGTTTTTCTTTGTTTCTAATATAAAATTTTTGTGGGCGTCACTGCTGAGCACAGGTGGACGGCACTGCTGGGCACTGATCATAAGGGCACTGATCATCAGTACTCTGGCAAGTGGTTAAATACCAATGGGAGATGGAGGGACTTTTGGGGCTCTCATTCACACTAGTTTTGGTCTCTGAAGAATGATGCGTGTTCGATCAATCTTCAAAAAGCATTTTACAGCTTGCGAGGAGGCGTTGTGTCACCTCTTCACCTCTTTTAACTCCTTAAACACTAGCACACTGCAACCGCATGCATTGCATGCTGTTGTGGGGTGCTTGCAAAGCACCCCCATTCACTTGAATGGGTTGCACTTGATGGGTGCTACTCCTAATGAAAGCAACAGGGGGTCTAATTCCTGCCATGCTAAAGGGGAGCTGTTGGGGATGGTAGAAATGCAGCTCAACACCCCCTTTTTTATTCCATTCTTCCTTCCCATTTCTTCCTTCTTTCCTTTCTTCTATTCCTCCCTTTCCTATCCTATCCTTTCATCCCTTCTTTTCTTTCTTTCTTCCCTCTCTCCCCTTCCTTCCTTCACTTCCCTTCCTTCCATCCGGACCTGCCTTCCCCCCCTTCCCTTTTCTTCCCTACCCTTTCTTTCCTTTCCCTTCCTTCCTTCTTTCCTTCCTGCTTTCCCTGCCTTCCTTCTTTCCTTCCACTAGTGTGAATGAGCCCTTAAAGGAAAAGTTGAGATTTTTAACATTAAAGAGACCTTGTTACATACTTTATCTGGTAGAGGCCAAGCTGACAAGAGGGCTTCTCTTACATCTCCTGTTCAATACCCCTGGAGTTGTTGGTGGTGTAGTAGGATGAGTGGCACAGCGGTCTGTGGTAGGTCTTGACACAGTGGGTGGTGAGATGTCTGGATACTGTTGGAATGCTGTGCAGGGCCAGATTTAGACCTTGGGAGGCCTGAGGCACTTCAGATTTGGGGGGCCCCTTATACACATAGTTTACATTCTCAATGACAGTTGCACATTTTTAAAATGCATGACACAACGCCATTCTGAGGTCATGTGTACACACACAAACACGGTTATAGCTCTCTGTATGTGGTTGGCTTGAGATGCCAAAATTCATTTTTAAAAAAAGAACATACTAGTCCAAAGTAAAAACTTTTGCAGATGATAGCCAGCAAAATTTTACTTCCCAAGATACATTCAATATAAAAAAAAAAAATTAAATATAAATAATAAGTTTTATAATATTTAATATTTTATATATATATATTTTATATAGAAGGGGATCCACGTCTTTCAGGGGGGGCCCAGCACTGATACTGTGGATGCTCAGACTGGAATTTGGGTGCAATTCTGGCACACAGATGGAACACAGGAAGTCGCACAACTGGTTAGCAGAGGTACCAAATTGGTAGGAGAAGGGTCCGAAGCTAAATCAGGACTGATGTCATATAAGCAGCAGTGTTAGAGATTCTGTATATAGCCCTACAGAGCAGACAGTGCGCAGTCCACATGTATTTATCTGCTGCTTCTCTGCAAGCAGGAAACAGGAACTTTATTATAGAGAAAAGAAATGGAGTTCTATCATAGATGCAGCTACAAATCTATAAACACTGCCATCTACTGGTTAAAAAATATCTCTACTGAATACTGTTGGTGTAGTTGTTGCACAAAAAATACATAAACAATGTATTCCAACACCCCCACTCAACAACTACTCTTATATTAGCCCCATTTAGGATCTCAGTTCTATAAATCTGTTTCTTGTAAGCAGTTTTGTCAAAGCATTTGATCCACTTTTCTTTCTCATGGGTTGAAAGTCTTTTCATCTCATCCCATAAATCTGGCTCTGGTTTTAATGCTACGCGAGCACCATAGGACAGTTGTTTGGCTGGGATGCCTATATTGCTTCTGGTGGATTTCCTGATTGAAGACTTTTGTGGCCTGGTTTCTTCTTTTACAGTATTTGGATTATCTGAATTCATTTCTATTTCTGTGTCACTTTGTTGCTTATATTCATGTGACACTAATGTGGAATTTCCCTCAGTTTGAAGCATTTGTGTTAATTAAATTTTGAATACACTGAAATTTTATCGACAATTGATGGTTACCTTGTTTGTGTCTTGGTGTAGAATTCTGTATCAATTTGGAGATTCACTGTACCACAGAAGTACACCTGCCTTTGCGCAAGCATCCTATTTTGTACATTTTTCTTTTGGGATGTGCACATAGGCGTTGCTTCATACATTTTTTTGATGGTTCAAATTCGGGCCTTTCCATTCCACAGTTCATATGGAGTTTTCTCCGTAGTCGATTTTGGAGATAGCATGTGGTCACAATTGCCTCCCCCTTATATGTGGTTAGCATATCTGCATCAAACAGCATGGTTCTTCCATTGTCACATAGAGTACGATTCATTCTTTCTGCAACCCTGTTTTGTTCTGGGTTGTATGGTACATTAGTTTGAAGTATTATGCCATGCTTTTTCAAGAATAGCCTTTGTGTTATCACATGTATATTTAGTTAAATTGTCTGTGCACAATGCACTCAGCATTTTGCCAAATTTGTTGCTTACTTGAGCTATTCATTTCTCTGGTACTTCACTTGGTGTATAACAGATATAGTGTAGTATACATGGAGTAATCATCTATAAGTGGAGTTAATTTTTCCAATGGACTGCAAAGTTCTGAATGAATTAAGTCCAGAGGTTTTTTTAGCTCTTAGACCTGGTGCATTTCATTGTTTGATTACATGGACTAATTTTTATTCCACTTGCACAGTCATTCTCAGTTAATTTCTTTATTATGTCAGGGCTTCTGTGCCATGTGTGAATACAGTTTGAATGTTTTTCCTCCTTGGCAGTATTACCACCTCATTGTAGTTGAGCTGATACAGTTCATCTGTAGTTTTAGCCTTTGCAAGTAAGATATCCTCTTTTGTGATGGCACAACTGCCACCTTGGAAGGTCACTACATTGCCTTGTTTTGTGAGCTTCTTCACTGACATAAGATTAGTTTTTAGGAGCGGAGACACACAGGACATTTTTCAAAGTTATCTTTCTGGCGACACTCTGGGAAATAGGACAGTAAAGGAAACAGTCTCCTATTCCTTCTGATTCCATTATTTGCAGACATGGGGTGTTGATTCAGGAGCTATGAGTCACGTAACAAATGACAGTCATTTCTTTAATCACCTTAACCAGAGTAGAATAGAAAAAATCACCATAGCTATTGGGCAAAGATGAGGTGTACTTTTTGGATTGAAAGCCATATTAATTATCTAAGGAGAAATTAGTTTCTTTCTTCACTCTTTTGGACTTTTGTAGTTTAGTTTGTTTTCGCATTCTAGCTTTTAAATTACCTTGTTTCTTGCACACAAAGCATTCACGTATTTCTTGTTGCATGTTGCTGTTTTACTTCCTATTTTTGAATTTAAAGCAGACTCTGCGACAGAAGCACCATCACTAATAATGCTTTCTGGTTTACGCTTATGTTCATCCATAAGCTTACCATTAACATACTCCATTGCCAGTTCATCATCTGGACGTGCATCAAGTGTTGTGACAAGTGTTTCATAACTGTCTGGTAAACCACTAAATTATTAATGCTGAAATATGAAAATCTTTTATTTCTTTCCCTATACCTCTCAGGTGTTCATCCATTTCCAGGGTGTGCCTTATGTAATCCTGCATGTCTTGGCCTTTCATCAGCTTGACTTAATTTATACATTTCCATGTACCTTCTCTTATTAGCAACATTTTCATCTTGAATTTCCAAGGCTGGTAGTTCTGGTTTGTCAGGTTTACAAATGAAAACTTTGTTACAGTTCTGTTACTGGCCATTTTCTTTTATTCCGTTGAAGTCTTTTTTCTGTTGTATCTTGCACTTCTTTTGCTGTCAGGCTATGACTGGGTGTCTGGGCCCATAACCTGTTAGAGAGTCTGTGTATAGCCCTACAGAACAGACAGTGCCCAGCCCACATGTGTTTATATGCTGCTTCTCTGCAAACAGGAAACAGGAACTTTATTATAGAGAAAAGACATAGCTCTATCATAGATGTTATGATATATAATAAAATAATACATTTTATATTTAATATTGTATTATTATTATAAATATATTTTTTATAGAGGGGGGGAGCCCATTCTTTCAGGGAGGCCCAGGGCAGTTGCCACTTTTTTGCCCATCTAGAAATCCGGCACTGATACTGTGGATGCTCAGACTGGAATTTGGGTGCAATTCTAGCACACAGATGGAACACAGGAACTCTCACAACTGGTTAGCAGAGGTACCAAATTGGTAGGGGCAGGGTCTGAAGCTAAACCAGGACTGATATCAGATAATCAGCAGTGTTAGAGATTCTGTATATAGCCTTACAGAACAGACAGTCCACATGTATTTATCTGCTGCTTCTCTGCAAGCAGGAAACAGGAACTTTATTATAGAGAAAAGACATAGAGTTCTAACAAGCAGAAGTACCAATACAGCAGGCAGAGGACGAAATCAAGATACAAGCCAAGGTCAGCAACAGGAGATCAGGATAAAGCAAAATCAGAAGGCAAGCCAGGACAAACACAGAATGGCTGGATATGGGTCTGTTCATGCGTCACAGGAGCTGATGACAATTCAGAAATTCCACTTGGGTATTGGTACAAAATTTTCTTCTTTAATAGCAGCCAAAGCAACAAAAATAATGTGTGAATCAGGACAGTGTCCTGGTGGAAAACGACTTTTTGACACAACTTGCCTCAACTCTTTTCCTTGATCATTTCCCGCAGTTTACTAATTAATTTGGCAT